TTTTCTTGTCGAGTTCGTCTTGCTCTCTCATTCTGGTATTTATTGACGTCACGGCCAGTTACTCTCAGCTCGATTGGCGCAATCTTGTATTCTATCATTCTTGGCGTTTTGGCATTTCTCTCTCGCAATTGCACCAAGATGACGTCACGCAAAAATTACGCTCAAAAATCCTCTCTCATTGGCGCAATCTTGTATTCTATCATTCTTGCTGCAAAACTGTATTGAGAATTGTTTGCGCAAATTTTACAAAAATGAACAAATGAACGAACGACCGACCGTACGAACGAAGGAACAAAGTAGAAAGCGTAGTGCTAGTGAATAATTGAATTTGATTGAAATCGGTTATCTTCAATGGAAGCGTGAAAAACACGAAAAGCGTGGAAATTGTAGAATTTATGATACTTAGTACTACAAAGGAAAGGCATAGAAAAGTCAATTAGTAGAGTAAATGTTTTAGTTGTGACAGCACATCATTGATAATACTACTAACTAGGCGTTGAAAGTAATAAATTATGAGGGGTCATAAAGCTTCAAACTAATTGTACATAATAATATTTATTTGTTGCTATTTAATCATCTCTTATTCAGATGGTTATCCTAATCGAGCCGCAAAGGTAAATGTCTTTGCTGGAAATTCTGAAATTCAAATTATAACTCAGGGCATGGTGAATATGTGTGCCAAATTCTAATTAATTTGGCGTTTCTGTAATGTATCTATCTTAATTAGATACTTAGTCTTTATATGTATGAATATGATTTTAGTTTCATATCAGTGCCAAATTGTTATATTTTATTTAACATAAACTCAAAAAAGTTGATGTATCCAATTTTGGAAATGTGGCAACTCTCTTATAAAATACTTTCAATATACTTTGGTGTAAATATGTAAGTTCAATTTGACGTTTAAAACAGTTAGAAAACCTCTTCAAATATATTTCGGAGCAAAACGTTTTTTAAAATTTTTCACGTATTGTAATATTTCATTTAACTTCTCTCGTTTGATACACATATTAAAATATTTCATAGAACTTGTTAATTAAATTGATTTTGACTTCATAAACGGCTGGCAATCCTCTTAAGAACTAACATCGAATTTAAGCTTTCCTAAATCTCACTCGTTTGAAACTGATTTCGAATTTCTAAACAGGTGACAACATTTTTCAAAAACTTTTTATAAATAAATCCTACTTAAACCTCTCTCGCTTAAATAATACCCGTATAGAAATATTTAATTTAACTAGTTAATCAGAACGGCATGAAACTACTAGGCCTGGGTAACGCAGCGCGGCGTTGCGTCATTGCGTTGATACCG